GGATCTCCAGGTGTCCATTTTATTGGTCCCAAACATAGTACAAGAAATCACACAACAGATTCAGGTAATACTATATTATGCCCTGTAACTTAAGTGTATGTGTGTGTGAATGGTGACTACCGGTATTGGGATAACTGAATACTGTTCTTGGGGACCAAACCAGATAATTTAGCTCACGATTGTAACTGATCAACAATAATAATCAACGCAAACAGTGACTTGTATGCGGAAATGTAACCAGGATAAAGTAATAATGATATGACCTTCAACCAACCAATAGTCATTCAAGGCTAATGGGAAGGTTATTAGATAGTTAATGATGCTGAGTGATGACTGGAGATGAAATGAAAATGTGAGATACGGTAGCATTCGAACCAGTGGCCTCCACGTTACCTGCTCAGTGCTCCAGCAACTGAGCTGCGACCTCCAGCTTCAATTTTCAAGGGTTTTGAATGAATAACACATAAATCCATGACGTGTGATTGTCCGTTCATCGTATTTACACTGACTGCCCATTGGAAAGTTCTTATTCCAATCTCAATCGAGCTGATAACGATGATCACTGTGGCTCTCTGAGAGAATAGTCGACTTGTACTATTCATAGTGGGTGTTACTGGGATTCAGACAAAATCCCTGGTGATTGAAGTGGAATCAAGTTCTGGTCAGCAGCTGGCTGCCCCGAGACTGCTGGTTTGAATCATGTTCCGACCCAAACTTTCATTTCACTTTCAATCACTAGCCAATATCAATAATACGGAGGCTAACTCAGATAGTCACACTCATAATTAATGAATAGTTAGTCAGTACTCAGTAAATTCAAGACTACAGTTTTATCCTGTCTAAAATAATTGTCTTTTTAACTACAAATATCTGATCAGTAGACTAGTCGTTGAACTGCTGTATTACTGATTATGTCGGCAAGTGTTTTAAATTCATATAAGCGGCCTACAACTTTTGGTGTCAATAAAAAGTATATACGTTACAACTTTCATGAGCATAATCAGAACGTCAATTTCAATGCCAGACAAATCACATTGCGGTTTCCAAGTGAAAACATTGAGTAACTAATATGACCGATTAATCCTAGATTGTGACATTTCTCTTAACTGATGGGTTACAACTTAGGAACCGTCGTTAAACACCCAAGACACTTTGATACATAACAATGGATACTGACCACTGAAAATACTGTCACCAAACTACTGAAGACAAGACAGGGAAAGTTAGACTTATTACTGCAGAAAAGGTTGAAAACTAGCTGAAAATATAGCAAATATGTGGTTATTTTACTGGACCGAAAACTGACGAAAACTGAAGAAGTGTCACCCTGGACCCATCTTAATGACATACTAAAGAAAATGTCAGAAAAAACCTTTGGCCAAGGTTAGTAATAGTGTAGTAAACAACCAATGACACTTTCTCTGGCCAAGGTCAATTTTCAACCAATAAAATACCAAAGACACTACCTTCGGTCAAGGTTAAGGACAAATATTTAGCCTACACTGTGCATAGAAAAAATTAAACAATCAGCTACATCCATTGCAAGGGTAATTTGAAATTAATGTCTTACACAATTTAATTGGCTCTAAAGGTAACCTTAACAACAACAACTGAAATAACCAATTAAATGTCGTTATTTTGTGAAAATTTGCCTTTCCAACAGAAATAAAGAAAATTAATAAGCAATTTAAGTTACTTCGGCGGTAACTTTTAGAGCCGCTGGCATATTATGTCACTTTTCAAGTGATTTTAAAGACTGTCCCTAACAACAACTAAGATAATCAATTACATTTATCTATTTTACGAAAAACTACCTTCTTATCACTGAAATTCATTCCACTTTTCATCAGAGACTGCATATTTCGCTATAGCACCACCACATTGCATAGGTTTCTTCATAAATCTTTTATAATTTTTTCATGTTCTCAGATGTTTAATCCGTTTATGCTTTGTTCATCATTATCTAACTCCCAAAGTAACAAGTTTATGCTACTAACAGATTCTGATTTCACCCATGTAAGCATTCTGGCTAAAATACTTGAAATGCTACAAGTTTTCAATTGTTTCTGCTTATCGTAGGCAAAAGATTATCGAGTTTGATGATAACATGGATGATATATAGTAATGAATTTATCTTTCTTTAAGTTTTAAAAGGTTATTTTACAACTAATGTAATTTTCTACACAACGAAAAATCTCCTAAAAGAGGTTACTACGAAGGTAATTATCTTTTCGACGACGTATTTTCACAGTTGTTCATTCATAAATGCATCAGTAAAATGTCAGAATGTTCCAGAAAAGTTTCCGGTTATAGGTCAATTTTAATCGATAGTTGTATGTAGCAATGAAAGGATATTACGTTGCTATGAACAGTTTATGACCTAACAGTTTACGAGCGATGCCAGCCTAGCAGACTACGAACGATACGAACCTAACGCATAAACGAAATGACTTTAACGCAAATCAGAGAGTCAACCACCACAACAATACCACCAAAGCGCGAAGATGAGAAGGGAAGACAGACCGTTGACAGTCTCAGAAACAGTCAATGCAGCTGACAGCGTTGCTAAATACATACATTCCTAAATGACCTTGACAGCACCAAGTCAACATATAAGTAAAATAGTCAACAACCAATGAGAGTTCAGCCTTGAGTAGAGGGGAGGAAAACTAGTGACGGTGTGAAAATAGCTATATAAGTTATTTCAAAGTCATGAGCAGAACAGTAGACAACAGCTATGCAAAATTAGAGGTATATAGAGACAGTAAGATGATGTAATAAAATAAAGACAAATGAATAAAATACGAAACAAAAAGTAAACAGAGGTGAAGAGTACCCGATTAAGGCCATGGTAAGAATGTATGTACATGTTTATTTTGAATACACAATTGAGATCTGAAGTTGTGAATTGCCAAAACTTCGACTGCACACACGTGTATAAACCTCATCTTTTTTGAAAGGTTTAGTCGAACTTTGAATGAGGTTTCCAGAGAAACTAGTCTGTGAGATGTTCAATAATGGAGTTGAAGATGGTTTCGTGCTCACCCTTCAGCAAAGCGGCTGCGTAACGTCCGTGAGCGCGTTCTTGAAGCGAGCATTTAGTATGACTGATGTACTCAACTCTACAGGAGGAAGTGAACTTGTAAATACACATTGATGAGACCCAATGCATCAGCTTGACTTTCAGAGTCTGACGAATCAGTTGTTGACATAAGAAAACAAAACAAACTTTCACAGGGTGGGATGTTCTACTTAGAGACTCTGACAAACGTTGATGAAGGATGTCCAAGGCAATATCACCTTTATATCATTCCATTCCCTACATGCACCTATCGATTAAGTTTGGCCTTAGACTCGAGACTTTTCTTGAATATTCTATCACGTCACTGATGCATTTGCATAGGTACGGCTGTGGAAATAGGTCCTCGAAAAGATAATTATCTTCGCAGTAACCGTTTTTGCTTTTCATTGTATCTCATTGTTACGTTAAAATGATGTCAACACGTAATATCCTGCTGAGTGAAGACGCTGATAGGATGCATGGTCTTTTGAACGCACTGAACAGAAATTTGTATAAGTTTGGCATGAGTTTTACTGGCTCTGTAAAGTGAAAGATGATTCTCCAGGACTGGTTTGCTGCAAGTACTCCCAGTTGAATAATTGGAAATGAAGTGGTAGAATGTATTGACCACTTCACTTACTTGGGGAGTTGCATCAGCACACTGAACGGGCTGGTTGCTGACGAAATATCAGTGCGGGAATACAGAAGACCTATTTGGTACCTGTCAACTTGCGTCATCTGTGGAACCAACTCACAAGATATCCGACTACCTATCAAAGGATGAGTATACTGCACTACAATCCATTCTGTCCTGTTATATGGCTGTCTGTCGTGGCCATTAAAAGTAGAAGACACGATGAGATTACAGGGTCTTGATCACAGATGTTTTTGTAGAATTCCCCGTGTTTGGTGGAATCAGCGTGTGAGCAATGATGAGGTCAGGCAAAGGACACTCGGCAAGAAAGATAAGTCGATTGATGAGGTTTGGAACCTTAGTTAACTGAGATAGTTTGGACATGTACTGCGCATACTAAGCCACCACCTACCTCGACGTTCAATGCTAAGGGAAGTTGAATTAGGTTGGAAGAGAGTTCAGGATGGCCATACCAAGACGTGGCACCAGTCGATAACGTCTCTTACTGTTTGTCTGAGCCGTGTGAGGAGATGTAGACTGCCTGGTTGGGGTCCCTGAGATGAAAGGAATCAGTGGTCGAGAACTCTTGGTGAAATGAATGAAAATTGGTCACATTTGGTAAGATATGTTCACTCTTTGACGTCTTCTAAAAGTTGAATAATTGCATTGACTTTTATTTTTAAGTTGCTTATTCTCTCGCACAACTTTGATATAATTCCTCTTCTGTTTATTTGTTCTTCGTGTGCTACAGTGAAGTGGGCCGATGCACCTGTATGTGAGATTCTGCCTTGATTTTTTCAGTCAGTCAGCTGGTATCGGTCACTGGGGTAAATAGAAGATCAGGGTGAGTAACACAACTCCTAGTCAACTTAGTTGATACAGGTTCATATATGTAGGGTTATTAAACCCTTAACAGTTGGATACTACTAATGTGCTTAACATTTTTTTAGACATGAATCCTCAGGTGACATGAAATATCTCATCGTTCTATATAACAAGAATCACACACATGTCAGTCATTCATCTAAAGACTGAACACGGAATCAAAGAGAAAATCGGAATCCACTCAGTAGGCAATCAGCTACAATTATAGTGTGGGATCTGGTGGTACTAAGTGACTGCCCAAACCTTGATAGGCGGAGCGATGCTCCAATCTGCAACCCCCTGTTTAACAGTCAGCTTCCGAAACCAATCAGCTGGAACTCCACTGACAACTTTTAGAAATTATTTCCGATCTAATGCTATTTAGTTGATTCTCTTATTCAAGCTAAATATTAAAAATAAAATTATTATATTTTCATGAAGTTTTTTTAGAAATTAAATGGCTTCTTGTCTAGTGAAACACGAAACCTAGTTGAGAAGTAATGATAAAACGACCATTTGTAGTCTGTTATATTTGTGGTCGAGAATTTGGTTCAGCTTCAATTAGTATACATGAGCCTCAATGTTTAAAGAAATGGCATCAAAAGAATGACTCCTTGCCGAAATCACTAAGAATGCCACCACCAGTTAAACCAAAGGCAATTCATTCAAATGAATCCTATAGTAACAACACTGGTGGCTTTCAAATCGATTTACCTTCAGGTGCTACAAAATCTGTTAGTACATTCAATGAAGCAGCAGCTTTGGCGGCAAGTGCTAATCTTGTTCCATGTCCAAAATGCGGTAGAACATTTAATCCTGATAGAATTGAAGTTCACAAACGTGTATGCAAACCATCAACACAGAATAAAATTCATACAGTTAATAGTAGTAATACAATGAAACCGCTAATCAGTGATAAAAGTTTATTCACTGAATGTTGTATATGTAACGCAAAGATTCAAACAGATTCAATACATGAACATGAATCGAATTGTTTAGCTAAATCAAAACGGGAAAATGATAATATAACATTGAACAGACAAGGTCATCAGTCAGTAAAACTTGAACAACATAAATCTACTACATCTAATATATCAGGCACACTTGGTGAGATAAGTTTAAAGTCAACAAAAGCTAAATTATTGCCTTGTTCAAATTGTTCTAGACTCTTTTTACCAACCAGTTTAGGATCACATTTAAAATCATGTAGAATGAGACAGAATACAGCCAAAAGACAACAACAACAGGAACAAAATCAACGTTCACGTTCCAAGACACCAACAAAACCAATAACAGCAGTTTGTTATATCTGTGGACGTGAATATGGTACTTGGTCAATTAGTATACATGAACCAAAATGCTTAGAAAAATGGTATAGACAAAATAATGAATTACCATTGGCTATGCGACGTAAACCACCACAACGTCCAACAACTTTACTACCAAATAAATCCACTGATCATTATGATATAGAAAAGTATAATGAACAAGCCTATGAAATCAGTAAAGGATCACTTGTACCATGTAGTAATTGTAAACGAACATTTAATCCTGATAGAATAGAAGTACATGAAAGAGTATGTAGAAAAAGTAATAAATAACCAGCCTAATGATGTGATTAACTTTGCATATATTGTAAGCGCCAAATATCCAATATATTGTGTAAACATTTACTATTTTCATCATATATATTTTAATTGGAATTTTATTTTGTTTCAATATTGCTTTCATTTATATTTAATTATTTATTAAATATTTCATTTTTGAGTTTTTATTACTGTTAATTTCATTCAGCCAAGATTTTTTTTTCATTTTTTCATTAAAAAATAATAATAAACTGGATTGCACAAGTGATGTGATGTTCTAATATCCAAGAGTTAACTACTCAAAGATTTCAGTCAGGTGTAATCAGCAAGATATCATAATGTGCAATCATTTCTACCATAATACAAGGTTATTCTCATTAGTCAAGTGTGTATTTCGAAGTTTTTCATGTAAAAAGTTTGGAAATCTTGAATGAACAGAAATACAACGTTTTAGACCAATAAGAACATAACTTTGGTTAGTTCAGGACCTGTTATTTCACATCTCTTATGCATATGAAAAGAGCAAGAATAACGATCGGAGAGAAAGATAGAACGAATTTACTTTATTCTGGTAGTATACTGTCAACTGCTTACAACTCTTAGAATATTAAAATATATAGTTTCATCATTGGGAATTTAACATATTTTCATTCACTCCAAGAAAACAGAATGTCAGTCAGTGTTTAAGACGTACAGAAATAGTCATAGAGTGAAGGTCAATCATAATGGCAAACTCAAAGAAGGTGGATAAGTGGTCACAGTTATATGCTTAATCCAGTTGAAGTTTCTGGAATAAAAATAGCGACAGGGGTAATAATGATCGACTTAGAATTATGAGATTACATTAGTTAAGCTCAGTTAATTAAAAACATTCGATATGCGCAAAATATGATGTTACTGACAGAAGTTGGAAATATGGACCACTGGATTCTGACCCAGTGGCTCAATGGTAATGTGCTGGTCGTGGAAACGGAGGGTCCTGTGTTCGATCCCTGGTGGGGCAGGGTCACGGGTGTTCGCTGCTGAGGAGCGCCAACCACGAAACTTTAGTAGAATTGATCTCATTTATTTGTTTATTATCTTGAAGACAACCGCTTGATGGCCAGTGTCAATCAGATGCTGAGTTATTGAACTGTTCACATTTTTACTTCTCTTCAGTTGTAGGCTTTTCGGAATGTGTGCAAGGAATCTAAAATACACCCTGCTTTCTGTACTTCCGATGGATCTGCTTCGACAGCTACCAGTTAATTTACCTACACAGTTGAAGGTAACATAAGGTACCAGTCAACTTTTGACTTGACTTAAGAGAACATTGTTTAGTACACAGGGAGTAACCTGGCTGCAGGGAAACGTCTAACCAATAGCGTAATTAGTCATTTGAAATTGGAGCGAATGAATACAGGCAATTTGTTGACTGTAGCTCTCTTCGCCTTTTGTCTTCCTATGCATCGCAAATAGCCAATACAGTATAAATTTACTGAAATACTATCTATACTACGATGCATACTTGCTATATAAGACCTTATGATGCTTTCAAAGCCGAAGCAGATAGAGTCCAGTTTGAACTCAGAACTTACAACTTGACAGCTAAGTGTGTAAGCTAGTAAACAATACATCCATCTATCAGTTTTATTCTATCAGAAGTTATCTTTCATATCCCGATTCTATCCACCGGGATTTTAAGGAAATTGTCGAGAAACGTTATTCTTAGGTAAATATAATGGTTACTCCTCTTTTTGTTAAATCATGATAGAGACACAACAATTCTTTTACTTATTAGAAAGATTTATCAAATGTCTTTACGATATGAAAGTTCGATTTCACGAAAAGCCTAACATCAAGTTCAAAATCTTATTGATCCAACAGAGAAAATAACCACACTCCAACCTTGACAGTGATATCTAATCGATTGACTATAGTCATAGCACCCAAAAATCTGGAAGAGAAAAAGCATACTAGCTTTTTCGTTCAAAATATGAATTTATATCAGTCAGAACAATGTCAAAATCCTTCTCAATACTACGAACAGTTTTTGTTTACGTGAGTTGCCAGCATATGCATCTCGCACTAATTGATTTAAACAAGATATCTACCCTTAGTGAGCGTTGAAGTTATCTGTTTACTGCATCTATTAAAATGCAAGAATAGAATAGGACAATGTTCTCAAATATGTTATTCATCATAAGGTAGCGAAAATTTAAAAGCCCTTGATGCACATATCTAATTGCAGATTCATTTAATTTGGAGGTTTGTGGGGGTTAGTTGTTGATCTCGGTTGGTATTCATCACGGAATGAGATCAGCTGGGGAACCATTGAAAACCTGACAGCACTGAACAGCTACTTGACCCTAGTATGGGACTCTACATCAGTGCGCACCCATGACCCCACCAGAGGTTAAACCCAAGACCCTGAGGTTCTGCGACCAGGAAGCCACCTTTGAACCACTGGGTCAGAATCCGATAGTCCATATTTTTCTCCTTCTGTCAGTTCGCGATCTCCATTCAGTGCTAGATAGCACAAAGGTCCTGGGTGGGCATTTCTGATGAGGCCCATGCCGGGATGAAATGGGTTTCTAATGCTCCGAAGCTTCCAACGGTTCTTTAACTGATGTCAGTCTATAGTGAATTTCAACTTGAAGTTAATAACAGAATATTGGAAGATTTAGATACTTCATGTTCATATGAGTAGCTCACCCACTGATCACTGATTTAGCCATCAAGTCGTATCTGATGGGTAGCCATCAAAGTTTATAGAGTAGGTCTGCAATTTGGTGGCTAAGTGATGTGACACTGATAGTGATATGTATCTGACTTCACTGCTTAATGATAAAGTTACCTACCAAACGAATCCTAATATGATTATTTTTATGAAGAATGTGGAGGTTAGTGGTTCATCTTAAACTGCCTGGTTTGAGTAAATTCAGATGTCATTTAGAAGTATATGGATGGCATCTAGATAAATAATACGATTCCCCAAGTGTACCGAGTCCAGGGCTTTCATACATATTAACAAAATGACAATGGTTATATAATGAATGGTGTAAGAGGTAGATAATAACTTACAGAAGGATACATTTCTTATCAATTTAGTAGTCTGAAGTAAACCTCGGCGTAACTATGCATAGTAAATCCTAATTTTCTAATGCTTTTAGTCTGAAGCCTAAGATAGATATGGATTATTCTATATTCCTGATTACTGGTATTTTCCTTCCTTAAATTCAAAATCAGGGTTTAATCCAAAGGTAAAGACAAGCAAGAAACTACAACCATTGATAACTAAGGAAACATTAACACTTTGGACTATTACATCCTTGAGATCATTTATACTGCTATGTTTATAATATAAAAGGGAATATTCTGGTATATTTTTGTTGGTGAATGGTACTTCCAAATACTGTGGAGAAGTTTGTTGATATATAAATGGATGTATTACGATGTTTAATTGAAACGAAACCCTTGTTTTCAAATGAATAGTCCCGTAGACTTTGTGTCTTGCACTTGAAGTCCTTTCTTATAGCCGGCTGTGAAGCATAGACTTATGCAGTTGAATTTCAATTAATCGCTCATGCGTTCGAATCCTGCTCGGCTTGTCGAGGTTTGGGCGGCCACGTAGTGGTATCATTAGCCCTAATACAATAAGTTGAGACTCATTGCATACCGCATGAATGTGTACAAGCTTGCTGAGTAGGTTTCGTTTTCTGCATATGCGATATCCGAATTAGCTGTGTATTTGTATATATGAAAAAACCGAATGATTTCTAACACAGATATGAATTTAAGGGTCTACAATTATCGCATATTTTTTTTCTAAAAAGAAAAGCTTACCGCATCACCATTGGTGAAGGAGTAAACGGACAGGTCAACATGAAGTTGATAAACTAGTACCGTAAAAGTTCGTAACTATGTCGACCAAACAATTTTAAATAGAATGAGAATAAAAGTTTTAACAGAATAGTATGGGTCAATTTTATCTAAACATTTCTCATCAGTTGCTCATAGAGTAAAACAATTTTAACATTGAAATATGCGAAAAAAGGGTTTCGCATACTTGAATCAATTTGATGATAAACTAACTTGAAGAAAAGACAGCACCGATGTATGCATATATAATATAATATATAATATATAAGTCGCAAGAATTTACCGAGCAATATACAAGAACTAATTATAAAGTTCTTAACTCTCTAGCAGTGGAATCCAGGATGCCCATTTCGTCCTGTTTAAGACCCGTCAGATGGATGCACCTGCTTCCCAGTGAGTGATGTTGTTCCCACCGAGATTCAGACTCGGGAGCGATCGCTTCAAACGCAAGAGCATTATCCACGAATCCACAGAGTCACGGTAGCCACTTCTTGTGCGACGGGCATATTTCCACTGCTAGCCACTATCTACCATTACTATATGGATACAGGCAATATCGAGGCATCCACACAGGAGCCCGTACGCCAATAGAGACTGACCAATTTGGTCCAATCAACGACAGTGTAATACAAGCAATAACGCTAATGATAAGGTTGTCTATGGTTAAAGAAAGACTCGACGATTATTCTAGAATGAAAGTTGGATAACAAAGCAAGGCAAAATATATTCTATTTATCAGGAAAGATTCATACCAGCCACGTAGCTAAAATGAGTAGGATTCAAACAAACAACAAAAACGTAAGAATTGATGAGCTAGTATAACGATAAAACCAACCAAACACCATGACTGTCAACAACAGAAAAAAACACCAGCGTAGTGAGAGATTCATAGCTATTTCTGAATACTTCAGTTCATTTTTAGTCGCTTCAGCGGAACGCAACAAATTTGAGTTTACCTGTTTATTAATTAATGATGAATACTGGGTAGCAGTGGAATCAAAGGCGTGTTTCGTCTTGGTTAGGACTCAGCTGGATGCAAATGCTTCCCAGTAAGCGGTTATTTCCACTAGGACTCGAACTCGGTACCGATTGCTTCACTCCCCATAGCGTTTTCCACTAGACCAACGAGTCACTTCTTGTGTGATGGGTATAGTTTTATTGTTGTTGCCTGTATTATCCTGTCGTTGAGTGAACCGAATTTATTAGTCTCTATTGGCATTTGGGCTCTTGCGAGGACACTTCAATATTGCCTGTTTTAATTATATATTACGGATGGATAGTGGCTAACAGTGAAATCCAGGACGTGTGTTTCGTCCCACTCAGGACTCGTCAGCTGGATGTAATTACCTCCTAGTGAGCGATGCTCCCCCTAATAAGACTCGAACTCGGGATCGATCGCTTCAAACG